TTCATATTAATGTAGTAGTGTACTTTTTTTTTTAAATATAAATAATTTAATAGAAGAATGTTTAATTTTGTATAAATATAATTTTGTATTTTTATAATATAAAGATATAAAATATAGTTTTATATTGTAAAAAATGTTTTAAATATAAAAATAAATATTTCGTTTTTATAATAGATAGGTAGTTTTAAAATAAAAGACATAATGCAAAAAAATTATATATTTTAGAATGAATTATTAATTAATTAATTTATATATATTTTTTTGAATTAATTATAAATTCTTCAAAAAAAAACAAAAAACAATAACAACAAACAAACACAGAAGTGTAACCATCTGATGGATGAAATTAGGTCCTGCCCTATTTTCTGCCGACTGTTCAGTTTCACTGTAAAGTCACATTACAGAAGTTGCGAATACCATAATAACTTAAAGGGATAGTTCACCCAAATAGTTCACCCAAAAGCATCCATGATGTAGGTGACTTTGTTTCTTCAGTAGGACACAAACGAAGATTTTTAACTCAAACCGTTACAGTCTGTCAGTCTTATAATGGAAGTGAATGGGCTCCACGGCTTTGAGAGTCAAAAAACATACACAAACACAACCAAATTAAACCCTGCGGCTCGTGATGATACATTGATGTGTAAAGACACGAAACGATCGGTCTGTGCAAGAAACTGAACAGTATTTGTATTGTTTTTTACCTCTAGAAACAGTCACTAATGAGGCATCTACTTATATATATCTATGTCTACTATGCCAGAGCACGTACACACGTCACGCGCTGGATGTTGTGAACGCACTCGTAAGCAGATAAACATAAAATTTTCATTTTTGGGTGAACTATCCCTTTAATTTTCAACATTGATTAAGGAGTTAATGAATTGATATTTGTTTCAGCTGGTGGAAAGGCCAGAGTTCGCTGATATGATCAGAGAGGATGCTGGGAATGTGGCCGCCAGGCAGGAAACTGATTCCATCCCTCTGGTAGACGAGATCCGTTTCCACATCGCCAGTAACGTTCAGACGTACAGCGCCATCGAGGAGGCCAACCAGAAACTCAGCGCCCTGGAGCTCCTGCTGGCCAGCATCGGGCTGGAGTGCTGAGAAACACAACTAACATGAGGTCTGGAGAGAGCACGGCGCTGGCGGATCGATCAAATGCTACCAAATGCTTTACATGCACAGATAATCCAAAGTAGCAAACTAGCACCACATTAGCAGTAACAAACTAATATGGTCGAATCTAACCAAAAACATGCATATATGGAGTCGGTGTGCGTCATCTTACAGAGGCCTGTTATGATGCAGTGAAGCTTCCTGTCTTCAGTTGTTTTTTTATGAACAAAAAGAGAGACGAAAGCTTGACATTTTGAAATTTCACCGGTCGTGAGCTTTGTATATCAGAACAAGTTCTTCGTGATATTTGGACATACGCTGTTCATTCTTCCACATGCGTCATGACAGATGTAGCAGAATATTTAACAAGCTTTATAGGAAACTTTAAGTTATGAGTCAAAACAATGCTGTTACATCACCGAATATGATTTGAGCCAATGATTAATCTAGGATGAGGCCATTCTTTAAGGAAAGAATTATTTATTGACATGCATTTGAGAAAAGGAGTGCACTGAAAAATAATCTTTTTTGAGATTTTTGGTGTTCATGATAGGACTGACAATTCTAAAAATCCTCCAAGAATGAATTATGATAGGATTTCACTTGCGTTCTCTCTGGTGTTTGTGTGAGAGTTTGCCATTTGTTTAAGCAAATAGATAATTATTTATGCCTCGAAATGTGTTCACTTACATCTTCCAGCACTGATAGAGAAGTTTTCCAGCTTTGCATCCACAGACTTCAGGTAATATGCATGCAATATTTGCATAGAATTACTCAAATGAATGAATGAAGTACTTAATATTTCTCCACCTAAACATGTTTTTCTGCATTGCTTTGATTTTGTTTCCTAGCCTTTTATTGTATTTTATGCTGGTCTTAAAGCATATGCTGTGCTCAGCAGCACTTGGTGAGTTTGTGTATGTTTGTTTCTGGAGAACATCCCACATGCGTTGGCATCGCAGTTTCCTTTCATATGATTTATTGTGGGATGCTCTGAATGAATGGGATGTACATAAGTGAGCAAAAATAAATATTATTTAATGTACATATTACTTGTGGGTCTGTTTGATTTACCTTTGGAGAAGTCTGAGAAGAGAACTCTGGGGGGGGGGGAAAAGTCCATTCTGCATTTTTAAATGTAATACAAATGTCTGTTATAATTAAAATAGTCTGAGTATATTAGTAGGTTTTTTTTTTTTTGCTTTAATAACAGCAACACTCAAGCCAAATTTGCTTATTACAAATTGTTTTGTCAATGAAAAGTAATTTTTATAAATAAATATGTATTTTATTTAAAGGGGTCATAGGATGCCCATTTTCCACAAGTTGATATGATTCTTTAGGGTCTTAATGAAAAGTCTGTAACATAGTTTGGTTAAAATTTCTCAATGGTAGTGTAAAAAACACTGTTTTTACCCTGTCAAAAACAGCTCTTTTCAGAACACGCAGTTTTGTAGCATTTTCCTTGCATCTGAGATCGGCTCGATTTGAGAAAGGGGTAAAGATTTGAGCAGATTAAAAAAAAAACACTGGGTGGATTTTTATCATTATAGGGTGGTTGTGTACACTGCCAACACACACTTCAGTTCAAACAACTTGTAAAAGTGCATGTAGCATTATATGACCCCTTTAATACATATTTATTATTACAAATGTTATTATCAGTATATTTTGAGTAAAAATAGCACATTAGTATGTCATTTCTTTTTACAAATGTATTATTACAAATTGTGAGCATATTTGAACTGAAAAGTTTAAAATATTTTGTTTAAAAATTACAATTCAGAATACATCAATGTTTTTTACGTCAACACTCAAGCCAAATTTATAACATTTAATATTTATTATTACAAATGTTATCAGTATATTTTGAGTGAAAAGTTAAAAATATAGCGTTCAAAACAAAATATTTCATTGTATGTTAGTATTTTTTCTTGTGCTTTAATGACAGCAACACAAACATTGGTTTACAAAATTGATCAAGAATTTCCCTTTAATTTAATACAGAATTATTATTACAAATGTTACTATCAATATATTTTGAGAAAATTTGAAAATATAGCATAAAAACATAATATTCAGAGTATACTAGTATGTTTTTTTATTTTGCTTTAATGACATCAACACAACCAAATTTGTTTACATACATTTTTATTAATACAAATCTTATTATCAGTATATTTTGAGTAAAGAGTAATATAAGTTAAAAAAGCATACATTTCACAGTATATTAGGTATTTTGCTTTAATGACATCAACACAACCAAATTTGTTTACATACATTTTTATTAATACAAATCTTATCAGTAAATTTTGAGGAAAGAGTAATATAAGTTAAAAAAGCATACATTTCACAGTATATTCGTTTTTTTTTTCTTCCTTTTATTCTTTAATGACAACAATTAAGCCCAATTTGTTTACATTTTGACCTAGAAGTAATTTTTTAATTTGATACAAATGTATTATTATAAACTGTACTGTCAGCATATTGAGTAAAAAGTAGATTTAAAAAAAAATCCAAGTATGTTAATATGTGTTTTTCTTGACAGCAACACTCAGAAAAATTAAATTTCAAAAATAACATTTCGAAATAGAAATGGTGACATTTCTGTATTCCCAAATTTAAATTAAGAGCCCAAATGTTCAGTGTGGTCCCAGAGGTTTTGATCTCTCAGTATTTATGAGAGATTTATGAGCTGCTTTAATAATGTAGTCCTGCAGGAGGCGCTGTGTATTGAGCACAACGCAAACTTCACAACGGCACTGAAGGACAAAGCTTCATAGGATTACTTGGATCTTATCCATATTTATCGCCTTTTCGTCACACATCTATGTTATACTGTAAAGCGTCATATCAGCTGTAAATGTTTCATAACTGGACGTCCCAAAAGTTTGCTCATATCAGTAATTGCGTGTGGCAGGATTTCCATTGTTTTTACATGATTTTGTGGCGTTTAAAACTTATTGTCAGAAATGTGGAGCATGAGTAGCGATTTCCTCCTAAAATGTCTGAGCGAACGAACACAGAAATGTCTTAAATGAGCAAATACAGTATGTCCCTCCCCGGTTCTAATAGCTTCTAAACCTCTGAAAACTCATTTAAAATACTCGTTTGCTGGAGTTTCGTAACTTGTCAAAGCTTCAGTCTGGGTTTTTATGTTTCTCCAGGCAACAGGAAGCAGAATTACCATGACAACCGACTCAAGTGAGGGATGAAGGCCTGTCAGAGCAGCATCGCGTTTCTCTGACATCTTTCCCGAGAGCCGTGTGTGTTTGTGATCCCTGAGTCACGCCGTGAATCCCTAATAACCTGACAGCGCTGGATCTTTACCGTGAAGAGACTCACTGGTGATCAAACTACAGGCCAGATCTGCTGATGTCTTCTCACATCAAACCTCCAAAAGCACATTTATTTGATTAAGACGAGGTAATATGTGCTATTACTCACAATTCATCAGATGCTGAATACTTTTATAAGTACTGCTGAAGATCATTACACTGTCTATAAATGAATTTTGGGGTTGGCTATATGTAAACAAAAACAATTAAGTCTGGTTTGGAATAATTAGGATTTATAATGTCTTTGAATGAAGTCTCTTATGCTCACCAAGGCTGCATTTATTTGATCAAAATAGAATATTATTAAAATCTAAAATAAGCAGTATATTATAATGATTTCTGAAGGATCATGTGACACTGAAGACTGGCATGATGATGCTGAAAATGATATCCTATATAGATTTTACATTAAAAAAAAACATGTACAAAAACTAACACTGAAATAAAATGAATAAAAACGATATAATCACTGAAAAAAAATCACTAAAACCTTAAAATGAAAAATAAAGTCATTATATATTATGTTTACATATATTATAAATACATTTATATAATATACATTTATATAATTATAATATTATTAGAAAATATTTAACATTTAAATTCATTATTTTATATAACAATAATATTTAATTTTATATTCATATATAATTATAAGAATATAAAAATTAAATACACACATTTATTTATTTATTTAAGTTTCAAATATTCTTGGGGGTCATTAGAGATTCATATAAGTGGGGTCAGAGAATTTAGTAGTTTATTTAACCCTGCTAAAGTATGTATGTGTTCTTTACGCAGAATTACAATTGTAGCAATATTTTCTGCCAAAATGAAAGGAGAATGGCAGGCCGAAGTCTAGGCAAATATCCTTAACGCTTAAATACTAATCAAATGTTAAACAAATATATCCAAAATGTCACATGTATGTCCTCCTGCAGCTTCCAGAAGTACTGAGTGTCCTTGAGTAGAAAACTGAGAATCCAAAGCATATTTCTGAATATAGGCTGAAGTACCCCTGCATCAAAACTAAACCAGACAACCTTTTGAATCCGTTCCCATATCATATTATGTATATTAAGTCATTTAATAATAAAAAGGAATAGACCAAAGTAGCATATGTAGACACACATTTACATATTTGGGCTTTAATGCCTTTAAAAGAAACTGAAGAAAGCTTGATATTAACTCGGACTACTTATTTTAATCTGCTAATTTTCTGTTTTATAGGTTTAATCACACATTCTTTCCAAGCAGCCGCCGGAGTTCATGAACCCCATGAATGTATTTCCTGCTGCGATCAAAGCATTGTTGGGAGGTTAAAGTGTCGTAGTTCTCCTGCATTGTTCTAACGGTTTAACTCAAGCGCAGCATGTGTCAGTCTATGTGTATCATGGCAGTTTGGTGAGTATTTTACGTTTTGGCATCAGCGTGTGAATGAAATCTTTCAGTATTCCCCAGCTGCCCTGTGACACAAACAGAGCGCATGTGAGTGTGAAAGAGGCTTACTGTGCAGCACATGACTCTTCCCATAGTCCACCTGCTTCTCATGTCCGTAAAAATACAGCTCCAAAATCTCTATCAAAACTACTACCGCGAATCCAGCCACATGACACCGGGAATCTAATGACAGCACCAATAATTAACAAGTAACAATGAGCTCTTTGCATACCGCTGCTTAGAATTCAATTAAATGCAAGCAAAGAGATCTCATCACATGCAAATGTCAGCGTTACACAAGCCGAATACAGCTGGACTCAGCACTCTGGAGCTGAGCTGATTTACTGCTATTATTTTGGCATGGATAAAAAAAACAACCCGTTCCATTGCCTCGCTCTTTAATCTCCTCCTGGGAGACCAGCGGCTCCAGAGACCGGCGAGGAAACCTGGCAACCCCGTTCACCGTCACACTAAACGCTCACATACTCTTGCTGGGAACGATTAGAATTCTTGTTGACTTCAACATTGTCTTAATGGCGCACAACACTGTCTTAATGCTGGTCATTCAAAGTGCTTCATATGAGCATGAAAAAGAAGAGAAATAAATCATATACACAACTGAAATGAGAAGGGGAAAGGAAAGGGATTTTAGACTCACATTCAAATTTGCTGTGCAAATGGAGATTGGCATTATGGACATTTGAATTAAAAATGTAGTTTGATCATTTTCTAGAAGTACACTTTAAAAAATGTGAGTCATTTTATTAGAAAAAGATTGTAAAATGAAAACTTGTTAACTGATTAACTGTACACGTTACTTTATCATACAGTACATTTTTATATTTAAAAAGGCAATGCATGTCAATTTAGGTTGGATATATTAACATAATACCACAAAAATATTACAGTTTTACAATAGATAATCACGGTGTATTTTGGCTATTCAACAAGTATTTTAAATATAGTGAAAAAGGCAATGCATGTCATTTTAAGTTGGTTGATATATTCATATTATATCATTATAAAATGTACAATTAGGAGATATATAATCACAGTATATAATCACAGACCATTCAGTTGGCTGTTAATATTGTATTATTTAAATATTAAATATACAGTTATAAGCTGTGTAATATGAGGTGTGTAATAACAATGTATTCTGGCTCTTCAACAAGTATTTCAGATAAAACGTAAAATTGATTTAATTGATTAATTAAAACAAGGCAATGCATGTCATTTTAAGCTGGTTAATAGTGTTT